GTTATTTGGAAATGATTCTTGACTGAACATGCTGCTCTGGATGGAGGTGATGTGAAGGAAGATCTCATACGCCTTCTTCACAGGACACTTCCATACCATTGCTATGCTACATTTCTTCCTATCTGATGTTATTGTAGGTGTGAATTGCAGGTCCTCCTTTTGAAAAGGAGGTGACTGTGAGAGCAGTCTGTGCCTTTTAAACATCACATTTCTCTCTTAAGGACCTGACAGACCAACTGTTTCAGACAGGCTGCTCTGCTGCTCCATTGGAAGGGGTGGCTGTGTTCCTGTTTGACTTGCTACTGCAAAAATAAACCCTGGCACTTGTCTAAGAAATGGCCAGAATCAATCTGCAGTGGGAGGTAGGTTATGGATGAGAAATGCTAATAGAAGAGGAAGGAAAAAAATTATCTGTGTGTGGGAGGGAGAATTCAGGTCTTAACTAAAACATTCGCTCAAAAGCAGCAGAGGTGGGAGGAATTCTAGAGGTAAGCTTGTACCTTTTTTTTATGACTTGTGTGGGTTCAGGAAATGTAGAGGATCTAAGGTCCCTTGATAAAAAGAGGAAGAAACTGAATTTAAGCATTTCTTTTTCTTTTGAGAAACCTCATTGAATGTCAACAGGAATGCATAACCAGAGGTAAGTTTCTGGCCTCTTTGTGTTTGGGTGAAGGCAGCTGGGAAGTATTTGTCCTTCGAAGTAGGCTCTGTTTTTGTTCTCCTTATCTGAAGCATTTGACACTATCAGTAACTTGCATGTCTTATAGAAGTAAAAATAGGAGAAGGAACAAAAAGCCCTGGCATTGATTTGCATTTCCTAAGTGTCTGAAGGAGTAGGTGGGAACAGGAGGGTGTTCAGACCTTACAATTTGACTCTGACCATAGAGAGATGTGTGCTTGCCTGACATCAGCGAACAGTGCTGTTTCCCTCTAGGACTCAGGATGCTTAGATTTAGGATTTTGCTTTGTCATTTTGAAAGCATTTTATTTGACTGTTGTAAATCTTTATGAGTATTTAAAGATAACCAGTATTTTTTCTGAATTACAACAGACTGCATGCCATAGTTGTTTGCAGACTAATGGCAAACATTGCAA